AAGCCGAGTCTTCTTGTTAAAAAAAAAAACAAAAACAAAGAAACTCCGTAAGAGAGAGAGAGTACACAGTGGAAGCGCTTAAACCAAAAATAAAATTGACATTAGTACAAATTTTGAAATGATTCGATTCTCATTAATATCCCGCTCCTTCCAGCCAATCAATGCACTGCTATTCCTAGAATCCCAACCAAGTTAATAACATCCACCAACCAACTAAGAATAGAGTTTCAAGTTTCAACAAGTAAGGGTGACTTTTTCTCCCTCCCAACCTCAAGCTCACAGCTATGACGCAGGCCTGCGCCCAACCTATCAATTCCATCAAGTGCCACCAACCCTCCTGAACCCGACACGCCACTCAGCAGTCCAGACTCGATGCCCACTGCAGATGACGTGTCCGCTCAACAGGGCAGGTTAGCTCCCAGGCCGAAGAAGAAGAATGCCAGCCCTTGATGAAGAAGGAGATGGCTGCCACTTCGACAAACACTTTGCAAGAAGGATTTCCATGGCGACCCTGTCTATCCCCAACAGCACAGGTAAGAGGAGGCGCCTGACAGCGCTCAGGGCCTGATGCCCAGCGCAGTCACACACACGAGCCAGGAAGCCCCAGCTATGGCGGACAGCCCTAGCAGCATGAAGATGATGCCGCAAGTGAAATAACGCAGCACCCAAACAGCACGTGACCTCCAGCAGCACTTCGTGGGAAAAAATGACGTACGAGACAGAACCCGTTTTTCCTTGCCCTCAACACTTTTGTAGACTGCTGTTTTCCTGACTCCACAGCGTACAGCCTGGGAGCGACAGCCTATAGCCTAGGACTGAACGAATCTAGACCTAAAATTGGCAAGAGGGGAGGACAGAAACGACCTTCAGCTCAAGGGCAGAAAGGACAAAGCAGAGAGACCTAGTGGTATTACAGCTAGCCTACAGAGAGACTACTCCAAACACACCTAGGGTTCAAGCCCAGTTGTGCTCTCACACACACACACACAAAAAAAAAAAAAAAAAAAACAGCAAACAAAACAGG